GGTTGGATGTCCTCCAATCCCTCATCCACTCCATCTTGCTGAGGTTGAAGATGACTTCTTTTTGTGAGAAGACCGAGGCAAAGAAGGTATTAAGTAGTTCTGCCTTTTCCCTATCCCCTGTCAGCATTGCCCCATCTGCTCCTCGAAGAGGCCCTATCGCCTCCTTGTTTTTCCTTTTTCTACTGACATAAGAAAAGAATCCCTTTTTATTGTTTTTAATGTCCCTGGCAAGCCTGAGCTCGTTTTGTGCTTTAGCCTTGCGGACCTTTTCCCTACAGGTGTTGGCTATTTGTTTGAATTCTTCTGGTGATTTCTCCCTTTTTCCAGTTCTTGTGCATGTCTCTTTTGTGTCTCAGCACAGTTAGAAGTTCTTTGGACATCCATTCTGGCTTCTTTGCACTTGTCCTATTTTTCTTTTTGTTGGCACGGTTTGCAACTGCGCCTTGAGTATTTCACTCTTGAGAAACTCCCATCCATCCGTAACTCCCTTGTCTTTTAGTATCTGTGTCCACGGAATGCTGCTCAGTGTTTCCTTCATTTTTTGGAAATCAGCTCTCCTAAAGTCCAAAATGCGGGTTTGACTTGTCTTAGTTTCGGCCTTCCTTTGTACCTCAAATTGCAGGAGCACATGGTCACTTGCCCCTAAGGATCCTACTACTTCGACCGCATCGATCAGGTCCTCCGCATTTGTTAGGATGAGATCAAGAGTAGCCAATCCCCTTGTTGCCTCTTCTACCTTCTGGACCATGAAATTGTCTGCAAGGCAAGCGAGGAATTTGTTGGACTTTGTACTCTTGGCCGAGTTTGTTTTCCAGCAAATATCGGGATAGTTGAAATCGCCCATGACTACTACATCTCTTCTCTGTGCCTGTTTGGTCAACTGTTGGCAGAAGACTTCATCAAGTTCTTCCTCCTGGCTTGGGGGTCTGTAGTAGACGCCTACAACAACATCTTTTTGAGTCCCAGTTCCCTTGATTCTTATCCAGATGATTTCAAGCTGGTTTCCCAGATTGCTGTCTTGAATCTCTTCTGCAGCATAAGAGTTTTTGACATATAAGGCTACTCCGCCTCCTCTCCCCTTTGTTCGGTTTCTGTGAAAGAGGTTATAGCCCTCGATGTCTACATTCCAGCGATAGGAGTCATCCCACCAGGTTTCAGTGATGCCTATGATATCATATTTGTGGTGTTGTGTTAAAAGTTGGAGTTCGTCATGTTTATTTCCCATGCTCTGTGCATTAGTGTAAAGACATGTGAGCCCCTGAGATCTTCCCTGAGCTGTTTAATTGGGATTATTGTGCTTTCGGTACTTGGTCCTTTTTGTGTTTGTGCAGCCCTCCGTTTAGCCTTCTGGCGGTTCCCTGACATTATGGGTAAAGTAGTGTTTGCAAGGCTGTTGTCCCCCTCCCCCAGTGGGCCTAGTTTAATATTCAAGGAACATCGGGTTGGGGGAAATAATACCTGCCTTGAATCTCTTTTCCAATTTGCAGTATTGCACGCATGGGTTTCTACAACCCTGCAAACTGGGGAGTAGACATGTTGGCCGAGCTGGCAACCTTCCTTGGCATTTTTCTATTTCCTGCCTTTAAATTCATATTGGAAACAGATGAGTGGGAGAGGAGGGAAGGAGGGGAAATGGGCAGATGGATTAGGAGAAGGGAGTGCTGGAAAGCGTCGGGAGGAGGGGGGGGTGTAATTTGATATTTCTAAGGGACATGGCCTTGGAGGTGTCTACGGACAACGCTGGCTCTTCGGCTTAGAAATGGAGATGAGCACCACACCCCAGAGTCAGACATGACTGGACTTAATGTCAGGGGACTACCTTTACCTTTACCTAAGGGACTCCCACTGAAGAAGGACACTGATTTAAAGGAGATGCAGTTCACCTACATGTGGAGAGCACTGTGAACCCAAACAACTATGGATCTGGGTGAGAGTGGACTGCCCTTCTTCTTCCTCCTCCTCCTCCTCCTCTCCGTTCTCTTCCAGAGGCGCCTCCAAATGGAGAGGAGGAGAAGGGCCAGCCTTGCTGCTGCCCTTCGCTCCTCCTGCTTCTCTTTGAGGCTTCCAGGCAAGCAGAAGCCTGCTCTAGAACCCCAGGCTCATAGAGCAGCCCTCCGCTTGTGCTGGAAGACTGGAAGGAAGGCGAGAAGGGCACGGTGTGGGACAGCAGCAGGATGTTAACCGGCACTCCTTACAGAGAGGTCAACCCTCCTGTTTAAGGAGCTCCACTGGTTGCCGTTTATCTTCCGAGCCCAATTTAAGGTGCAGGTGCTTACCTACAAAGCCCTGAACGGTTTGGGACCACCCTACCTGCGTGTCCGCATCTCCATCTACGAACCCACGCATTCTCTCTGTTCATCTGGAGAGGCCCTCCTCGTGATCCCGCCTGCGTCGCAAGCGCGTTTAGTGGGGACATGAGACAGGGCCTTTTCCATGGTGGCCCCCTGACTCTGGAACACCCTCCCCAAAGATCTTAGACAGGCCCCTACATTGGCAGTCTTCAGAAAGAACTTGAAGACCTGGCTGTTCCGATGTACCTTTCCAGAATAGGAATCTCCAATAACAAGTCCCAGAAGCACTTTATTAGAACTAAGATTGCCGCACACTGCACTTACCCTATAATCCTTACATATCACCTGTCACATCAGCACTTTTAATTCTGTACCCTTTACTCTGGCCCGGCCCAGTTTTATTGTGTTTTGGTGTATTGTTGATTGCTTGTTGTTTTGCTGTTTAATATTGCTGTAATTGTTTTTAATTTGCTTTAGGTTTCTATTGTTATGTTGTGTTTGAGACCTTGGCCTTTGTAAGTCGCATCGAGTCCTTCGGGAGATGCTAGTGGGGTACAAATAAAGTTAATAAATAAATAAATAAATAATTCTCCTCTTCCTCCTCCTCTCCGTTTGGAGGTGCCTCTGGAAGAGAACGGAGAGGCTGAAGAACCCAGAGGAGGCAGAGGAGGGAGGCCTTGCTGCTGCTGCTGCCCCACGCTCCTACTGCTGTACTTCGAGGCTTCCATGAAAGCGAAGGTCTGCTCTATGAGGCCTCCGCTTGTGCTGGAATCCTCAAAGCACAGCAAGAGGAGCTTGGCGCAGGGCAGCAGCAGCAGCGTGGCATGCCCTTCTCCTCTGCGCTCTTCCCCCTCCTCCTTTCTGTTCTCTTCCAATAGCGCCTCTACAGCAGGCTCCAGGCCTTGAGGCGGAAGCGCGGCTTCCTCTTCTTTTCCTTCTTCCTCCTCACCTCTGCCTAATTCGGCCCCACCCCTTCTGCCTCTCCGGAATGGCTGCTTGGCCCCTGGGAGCACTGCAGCAGGGTGCACCCCAATGCCGGCAGGAGCATTTCTGGTGGCCGCGATGGAGTCAAGGAACGCCTCCCCACCGGATCTGGGCTCAGGCCATGCTGCGGTGTCCCCGGGTCCCAGCAGCCATTCTGGGGTGGTGGAGGGGGCGGGGCCAAAGGAGACACTGGCACGACCCCTCGAAAATGGCCTCGCGACCCCCAGGGAGGTCACGACCCCCAGGTTGAGAACCGCTGTTCTAGAGGCATTCTAGAATGTTTTGCCTGCATCTATGGCAAGCATCCTCAGAGGTAGTGAGGTCTGTTTGAACTAGGAAAAAGGGTTTATATATCTGTGGAATGACCAGGGTGGGACAAAGGATGTGGCTCTTAATGAGACATGCCGCATATTCACAGGATGTCTACACCCTACACCACTGGAGAAATTATATTGTTTAGCCAGCTTTGCACCACCTGACATCCGCCGGGAAGTAGCAGCCAATAATTTAAGGACCAAGGCAGTGACATCTTCAGCCCATCCTCTGTTCGGGTATCAGCCAGCACTCCAATGCCTTAAATCAAGAAATAGTTTTCTAAGATCTGCAGAGATACTCGCAGGAACACCTCAGCAAGTGAGAGTCCCAAAGTGGCAGACTAAAACCCAGAACCTCAACCCATGTCGGATATCGAATGAGAGACTCCCCCTGGGCACACAGAAGACTGGACAACTTGGAAGGCACTGAACAGACTTCGCTCTGGCACCACGAGATGCAGAGCCACCCTTAAATCGGGCCACAAAGTGGACGTATGTGTGTGAAGAGCAAACCGCAGACCACCTATTACAATGCAGCCTGAGCCCTGCCACATGCACAGTGGAGGACCTCCTTATAGCAACACCAGAGGCACTCCAAATGGCCAGCTTCTGGTCTAAGGACATTTAATATAATGCAAAGTTTTTAAATTTTGGTTTTTTATAATACATTTTCAACTGTATCCTTGGTACAGTTGAAAATGTAAATACAGTGGTGCAATGGGTTAAATGACTGAAAGGGTGGTGGTTCAAATCTGGGGGCCAGGTCTGTCAGCTCCAGCTTCTCATGTGGGGACATGAGAGAAGCCTCCCAAAAGATGGTAAAACATCTGGGCAACTCCTGGGCAACGTCCTTGCAGATGGCTTAAACATGAAATGCATTTATATTTCAAGTAGATTCATGCTCAGTAAGAGATTCTAGTTACAGCTGTTATTCACTGTAACTGATGTAAGCAAGTACCCGCAGTTTTAATAGGACTGATTGCAAGAGCATCCCATTTTTAATACCTTGGGCTTTATTGCATAGTAAGAGCTGCGGTGGCGCAATGGGCTAAACCCTTGTGCTGGCTGAAGTGCTGGCTGAACTGCTGACCTGAAGGTGGGTGGTTTGAATCCGAGAGACAGGTTGAGCTCCTGTCTTTCAGCCCCAGCTTCCCATGCAGGGACATGAGAGAAGCCTCCCACAGGATGGTAAAACATCTGGGCGTCCCCTGGGCAGCATCCTTGCAGACAGCCAATTCTCTCACACCAGAAGCGACTTGCAGTTTCTCAAGTTGCTCCTGACATGAAAAATAATAATAAAACAAACTAGATGAGAATTAGAACCTTGTTTTCATTAGTCTGCTGATAACATAGGGGTTTTCCCTCTTGTCCATGAGATCTAGGTAAAACTCAGAAGAATTCAAGTGGAAACTCTTGTATGAATACATTTTTAATAACCTGGACCTACCTGTGCTAAAAATCCAGTACTGCCAACGTTGGCATTTGATAAAAACATAGCTCCAAAACATGAATAATCTTGTTGATTTTCTTACAAAAATGTGATCATATTCAAACCAGGGCCAAATTCCATGTTACCTCAGTTTAGTCTATGAGAGTGATTTAAGGGCACCCCATGTAAAAATTAAGGGAACTGTTTAAAAGTTTCCTCATAGTCTGATCAATTCCTCTTCTGCGAGAATTCACTAGTGCAAGAGATAAAGTGGACACTTGAAACTTTTTGTGACAACAGGAGCAGTTGTAACATTTCTCTTCCATCTCCTGGGTCTCTTGCAAGACTTAAGGTCAGGGACCTTTCAAAATATCTATGTCTTTGAAACCATCTTTCTTTTGAAGAGCGAGGCTCTGCCTCTGATGAAAGACTTTCCTACAAACAGGCTTATATGTGCCACTTCCTGCCTGATGCATAATTAGTTGCATTTTTTTCCTGAAGGGGTTTTTCCCCCCTATCAGTCCAAGCATTCAAACAATTGTGGGTTTTCATACGAATTCGCAGTTCTGAAGAGATGCCAGATGTTCTCACACAGGTCCTCTCCTGTTCAACAAGGTCTGATTGAGAACTGAAGCTTTTCCCACATCAGGAGCACATAAACAAGTGCACTCTCTCACATGACACTAGGTTATGGGCCCAAGAGGAACACTGCCCACTATATCTTCTCCCCCGTGTGGATTCTCTGATGGACTCTGAGAGCAGAGCCATGACTAAACGTATCGCCACACTGCGAGCACTGGAAGATTTCCCTCGAGTCCGAGCATTCGGGCGGCTTATCCGTGTGGGTCCGCACATGGAAAACCAGCTCAGATATGACTTCAAAGGCTTTCCCGCAGACAAAACAGGCTAAAGAATCCCCTCTTGAGTGGGTTCTCTCATGTTCGATAAGTTCGGACTTTTTGTTGAAGCTCTTCCCACAGTAGGAGCACATTGCCATGTGGGTTCTTTCATGCGCTCTCAAGTGCGGGCTGCAGCTGAAACACATCCCGCAGTACGAACATTTATACTGGTTTTCGCCCGTGTGAGTTCTCCGGTGGACTTTGAGGCTCGTGTACGTTCCAAAGTTTTCTGCGCACTTTGAGCATTTATAAGGTTTCTCCCCTCTGTGGAGCCCCTGGTGCTGAAGGAAACTCGATATCTTCATGTACGCTTTCCCACAGATTGGGCACACGTGTATTTTCTTTCTTTTCTGTTTTTCCTGCTGGGTGTTGCAGCCAAAGGTATTCCCGCAGACTGAGCATTTGTGTGGCTTCTGGCCCATGTGGATCCTCTCGCTTTCTCCACAGTTGGAACAGGTATACAGTTTCTCCCCGACGTGGTTTCTTTCATGAGACAGAAGCTCAGAGCTGCTACTGAAGCTCTGGCCACAATGCCAGCACTGATATGGCTTCTTCTCTCCCTGGGGGCTGTTGTGCATCCTCAGGTCTGAACTCAGGCCAAAGCTTTCATCACATTCCTCATATTTCACATTCTGAACCTCCTGGATGTTGGGTTCATTTTCAGTTTTGCAAACCAAGTGACCCTCTCCCTCCTCTTCGTCCCCTCCATTCTGTCTCTCTGGCTTATACTGACTCTCATCAGGCTCTTGGTCTGTTTTCAATAACATCACTGAGAGCTCCATTTGCTCAGGATGCTCCAAGACGGGTTTCTTCTCCTCCTCGCTTTCTTCCATCCACCCTCCATCTGCTGAAAGAGAGATAAATATACAAAACATGAATCAGAGCTTTCTAAGATGAGGCTGTGCAGGTTCTGAACCAGTGCCTGGCTGCTGTGTCGGTCTGGATGAGGGTGAACAGAGTGAAACTGAATCTAGACAAGACAGAGGTACTCCTGGTCAGTCAGAAGGCCGAACAGGGCATAGGGTTACAGTCTGTGTTAGACAGGGTTACACTCCCCTTGAAGACACAGATTCGCAGCTTGAGAGTAATCCTAGATGCATTACTAAGCCTGGAACCCCAGGTCTCGGCGGTGATCGGGAGAGCTTTTGCACAAGTAAAATTTGTGCACCAACTGTCCCCGTACCTTGGGAAGTCTGACTTGGCCACGGTGGTTCACGCTCTTGTTGCACCCCGGATAGACTACTGCAACACACTCTATGTGGGGCTGTCTTTGAAGACTGCCTGGAAGCTTCAACTAGTCCAATGGTCGGCAGCCAGGTTGCTCACTGGACAGGCATACAGGGAACATACAACTCCTCTGTTATGCCAGCTCCACTGGTTGCCACTCAGCTTCCGAGCACAATTCAAAGTACTGGTTTTAACCTTTAAAGCCCTAAACAGTTCTGGCCCAGACTACCTTCCAAACGTATCTCCTGTTACGGACCATCATGAAGTTTATGATCTTCAGGAGAGGCTCTGCTCTCGATCCCACCACGAACGCAAATGCGGTTGGTGGGGACAAGAGAGGGCCTTCTCAGCAGTGCCCCCCCTTCTGTGGAACTCTCTCCCCAGGGACATCAGGTTGGCCATCTCCCTCCTGCCCTTTAGAAAAAAACTGAAGACTTGGCTTTGGGACCAGGTATTCTATTAGTGGATAGTGGCAATTGGAATAGAGATTTGGAAACTGCGACACTGATTTAACCCCAGACTTGGATTTGGTTTAACTGGCATGACTAATTTTCTGTTTTAATGAACTGTTTTAATGTTTTAATGTATTTGTTTATTATCTATATGATGATGATAGCATCATTCAGTGCTTATGTGAGGCCACCCTGAGTCCCCTCTTGGGGAGAGAAGGGCGGGGTAAAAGTGCATGAAATAAATAAATAAATAAAACACAACATTATCCAAAAGGCCAAACCAATCCCTGGTAAATAAACACTTAACTAATGTTCATAAAATCATAGAATTGGAAGAGATTTCATGGGCCATCCAGTCCAACCTCTTGCCAAAAAGCAGGAAAATTGCATTCAAAGCACCCCTGACAGATTTATTTATTTATTTACAGTATCTATATTCCGCCCTTCTCACCCCACAGGGGAATCAGGGCGGATTACAATGTACACATATATGGCAAACATTCAATGCCAAAGACAAACAACAGATATAGACAAACAGTCCGAGGCTATTTAACTTTTTCTGGCTGCCAAGGGAGCTGTCGCTTTCATCGTCCATCTGCGACACTGATGAAGTGCTTCTGCATTCCCCGCATGCTTCCCCGCTGAATGCTTTGCTGGAGTCTTCTTTATGGCCTCATAAATTTTGCTAAATTAGCCTCCACACACATAGGTGGTACCTAATTTCCTACTTGACAGATGCAACTGTCTTTCGGGTTGCAAAAGTCGACAACAAGTTACACAATGGATCGGAAGCTCACTCCGGCTTCGAAATCATGACCTTGTGGTCAGAAGTGATCTTAATGCAGCTGACACTCAGACAGCTGCACAACAGTCCCGATGCCATCCAGATGGCCATCCAGCCTCTGTTTCAAAGCTTCCAAAGAAGGAGCCTCCACCACACTCCAGGGCAGAGAGTTCCACTGCTGAACAGCTCTCATAGTCAGGAAGTTCTTCCTCATATACAGGTGGAATCTCCTTTCCTGTAATTTGAAGCCATTGTTTCTCATCCTAATCTCCAGGGCAGCAGAAAGCATGCTTGCTTCCTCCTCCCAATGACTTCCCCTAACATCTTGTATTGCTCTATTCTAGAAGCATAGTGTCTAGACTGGAGGAAGCATTAGTCCCACTCTCTTCTGCTTTGATCAGACCTCACGTGGAATTTTGCATCCAGTTTTGGGCACCACAATTTTAGGACTGTAAGCAAGAAACATAAAAAAGGAACTCCTCCAATATATTAAAATCATCAGTACTGTTTTAGTATTTGTGTGTTTTAAATTATATTGTAATGTTTTAGTGTTAGCCACTTTGTTTCTCCATATAGACAGAAAAACATAATAATAATTACCCAACACAGATGCACTCTCTTCACTCTCCTGCTTGGCTTCGGTGAGAATCTGTATCTTCACCACATCTGTCTGAGCCTGATTGGCCTGGGAGAGGTTCACCAAATCCTCATCTGTCACTGCCATGCCCTAGAGCATAGGAATTTAAAATAAAGTTAGGATGCAACAAAATGAGTATTGAGTAGACGTGCAAAAGTTTTATTATGTGAATTGCATTTTCAATACAAAGTACAGTCAGTGTTCCATATTTACTGCTGAGGGGAACAACACCTTGTGAAAGCGAAGAGCCCCAAATTTTAACATGGCTTTTTTTAACCTTAAAGAATATCTCTCTTGAAATGTATAAGTCCTCCAATATGAGTGTATCATCCACTTCCACCAGCAGGTGACTATAAAAGCATACGGGAGGACCAAGAGATTCTCACGAAATGTTCTCTCAAAGTTCTCCAGCACAACCTCCAGGGGAAGTTGATGAAATAGTTAGGAGTGGACGATCTAGAGATTCCAAGAGAATTGTTCTCTATAGGAATCTCTAGATTGCTCTATGGTCAAACTCGGGAGAAAGTTGGCCATAATATCATATTGGAGGAATTAGAGGTTCCTTGAAAGATTTGTAATTAAATCCATAAATAACATAGCCCCAAACAAAAAATCTTAGTGTCTTGGTTTTTAGGTTTGTTCCTGGGATCATAGAATTAAAGAGTTGGAAGAGACCTCTTGGGCCATCCAGTCCAACCCCCTGCCAAGAAGCAGGAATATTGCATTCCTGCTTCTTGCGTGGTGGAGGCTCCTTCTTTGGAAGCTTTTAAACAGAGGCTGGATGGCCATCTGTCAGGGGTGATGGCCATCTAGCCTCTGTTTGAAAGCTTCCAAAGAAGGAGCCTCCACCACGCTCCAGGGCAGAGAGTTCCACTGCTGAATGGCTCTCACAGTCAGGAAGTTCTTCCTCATGTTCAGATGGAATCTCCTTTCTTGTAGTTTGAAGCCATTGTTCCGACCTAGTCTCCAGGGAAGCAGAAAACAAGCTTGCTCCCTCCTCCCTGTGGCTTCCTCTCACATATTTATACATGGCTATCATATCTCCTCTCAGCCTTCTCTTCTTCAGGCTAAACATGCCCAGTTCCTTAAGCCGCTCCTCATAGGGCTTGTTCTCCAGACCCTTGATCATTTTAGTCGCCCTCCTCTGGACACATTCCAGCTTGTCAATATCTCTCTTGAATTGTGGTGCCCAGAATATTCCAGGATCATGCTGATTCAGAAAATTGCATTGGCTAGATCACATCAGCTCTACGTTATTAGATATGGCATATCATAGTTTGCTATAGGTAAGCAGATAGTGACTGGTAGAGTCACAGAATCATGGAGTTGGAAGAGACCTTGTGGGCCATCCAGTCCAACCCCCTGCCAAGAAGCAAGAAAATCGCATTCAAAGCACCCCTGACAGATGGCCAACCAGGCTCTGCTTAAAAGCCTCCAAAGAAGGCGCCTCCACCACACTCCAGGGCAGAGGGTTCCACTGGTGAATAGCTCTCACAGTTAGGACGTTCTTCCTAATGTTCAGATGGAAACTTCTTTCTTGTAGTTTGATGCCATGGTAGATGGCATATGTTCTGTATCTCAAAAACCAGAGCGGATAGTGGAAATCTGGTGCTGTTTTTGGAATCATTAGGTCAAATACAACCCAGAAACAGGTCTAACAACTTAAAAACCTGTGGCAGGGCCAAATGTAATGGTTAATTTTTTAAAAAATGCTGGGCATGTCCAGGTGAAATAGGATGGATATTTAGGGATAATTGGGTGTGCAGACAATTCTAACTCTCTCGTAAAGTGCATTTGGGACAAATTGCTTGGGATACCTTAATCTGGGATCTAACTGTAAATGTGGAGAACTAACTTGATTGAAGTGTATTCAGTAGCAGGAAGGAAGAGTGAATTCATTGCTGATCATGTCAACCAGGTTATTTTTGGTCAGCCTCCAGTAAAGCAGCTGGGCAGCTATGTCTGTTGACTATGAACACCATTCTCAACAGCACTTCAAAGACAGTATTTGGGGAACACACTCACCTGTCCTTCCCAGACTTTGGCCTCTGGTTGCCACAGGAGAAAATCTTCTGCCAGGGTTACTGCTTGGGCGCATGTCTCTGGAGCATTCTTCCGGAGCCAGGTCTGCATATCTGCTGGCAGGACAGCCAGGAACTGCTCCAGGGTCACCAACTCCAGCATCTCCTCCTTGGTGTGACTCTCAGGCTTCAGCCACTGGCGGCAAAGCTCTTGGAGCCGCTGGCAAAATTTCCGTGGCCCATCAGCCTCTTGGTAGCGCAATGTCCGGAACTGCTCGTGCTGTGTTTTTGATTCAATGGCTTCTCCAGCCAGAACTCTCTCTTCCCTCTTCCCACTGTGCGTCGCACTCTTTTGAATTTCTCCAGTGCCTTGTGGCTGGACTTGGGAAACCCACAATTCTCTGGGCCACTTGTTGAAAACAGCTGGATCGTTACATTGGTTCAGTTCAGGAGGCTGTGGAGTTCCTCCACTCAAAGGATGAGCTTGAAGGCCCATCAAAAAGCCCTGCAACTGGGCATCCCAGTTCCCAGAGGGCCCATCCTCTGGCTCCTGCTTCACCTTGGCTTTCAGAAGAACGGTGCCTTCGTTTACGTCACCTGGTTCGATGATGGCCGACTCCCCCTCCTCTTCCTCCATCTTTATTTCGGGATCCATGCCCTCCTTGATCAAAACCACCATAGCTTTTGCATCTTGGGTTTCTGCCATTCTGTGGCAAAGAAACCACTTTCTTTTTTTGCTTTTCAGCACCACCTCTCTAGTCTCGCTGCTTTATCTGTCAAGTTCTGTAAGATACTTAAATAATTGTGTGAAGTTGAGGTCTTTCAATGATCAAGAGGGGCCAAAATGTTTGAGCTCCGCTCCCACTGTGAAGAAAAATATAAATATGAGAGACAAAGTCTAGGACTCCACACTAAGAGCAAAACTGTACACTGCTTTAATGCTGTGTTGTTGTGTGCTTTCAAGTTATTTCAGGTTTACGGCAATGACAAGCTGAAACTATTGTAGGTTTTCGGGAATGGACAGTGTCTGACTCACCCAAAGTTACACTGTTGGTCTAAAGCAGGCACGGGCAAACATCGGCCCTCCAGGTGTTTTGGACTTCAACTCCCACAATTCCTAACAGCCGGTAGGCTGTTAGGAATTGTGAGAGTTGAAGTCCAAAACACCTGGAGGGCCAAAGTTTGCCCATGCCTGGTCTAAAGATCTGCAGTACAATGCTCAAACCTTTACCGCACACTACTTCTCTTTAATGTTGCTGGAATATAAAGTTTTGCCAGTGTAGTTATGTAGGAGAGAGTCAGGACATCCGAGATGAAGATATCATAACAGCAGAGCTCTCTTGGTGCACCCACATTCAGGGGCATTCCCATTATTCCCAGTCTGCACGGCGGATAATCAAAAGTGATCAAAAGTGATTGGAGCTGTCATTCAATAACATCTAGAGACCCAAACTTAGTAAAAACTAAAGAGCACTAACTACTATGTATGTGTGTGTTTGTGACCTTTTGTTCAACAAGTTTAGCAGCTCAGCGTATGAGATTTTGCACATGTGTTGTAATGTAATTTTTGTTTTTTTGGCTTTTTAAGTCTCTTCTGCTGTGTTTTTCGGTGTTTCTATGAATGATGGTCACTCGCTGGCCTGATAGGTGTATTGTATCCAAATCTGGTATCAATTTGTCCAGCGGTTTTTATGTTATGTTAATCCCACAAACGAACATTACATTTTTATTTATATGATGATATCTATGTAAATAAAAATGTGGGATTAACATAACTCAAAAACAACTGGGCGAATTGACACCAGATTTGGCCATAAGACACCTACTAACCCAAGGAGTGACCATCACTCCAAAAATTTGATTTTGTCATTTGTGAGTTGTAGTTGCTGGGATTTATAGTTCACCTACAATCAAAGAGCATTCTGAACTCCACCAATGATGGAATTGAACCAAACCTGGCACACAGAACTCCCATGACCAACAGAAAACACTAGAAGGGTTTGGTGGACATTGACCTTGAGTTTGGGAGTTGTAGTTCACCTTCATCCAGAGCACTGTGGACTCAAACAATGATGGATCTGGACCAAACTTGGCACAAATACTCCATATGCCCAAATGTGAACACAGATGGAGTTTGGGGGAAAAAGACCTTGACATTTGGGAGTTGTAGTTACTGGGATTTATAGTTCACCTACAATCAAAGAGCATTCTGAATCCCAAATGACCGAATTGGGGCAAACTTCCCACACAGAACCCCCATGACCAACAGAAAATACGTGTCTGGACCAAACTTGACAGGAATACTCAATATGCCCAAATATGAACACAGATAGAGTTTAGGGGGAAAAAACCTTGACATTTGGGAGTTGTAGTTACTGGGATTTACAGTTCACCTACAAACAGAGAGCACTCTGAATCCCACAAACTGTTTTCCCTCAAGCATAGAGAAATTACATATATTGGAAACCAACACTTCCTCATTATTTTATTTTCTAGATCACCAGACTGGGCCACAGCAACACATGGCAGGGGATAGCTAGTATATATACCAGTGGTTCTCAACCTTCCTAATGCCGTGACCCCTTAATACAGTTCCTTATGTTGTGGTGACCCCCTACCATAACATTACTTTCATTGCTACTTCACAACTATAATTTTGCTCCTGTTATGAATTATCTTGTAAATATCCGATATGCATGATGTATTTTCATTCATTTGGCATGAATACTCGATACGCCCTAATTTGGATACTGGTGAGGTTGAGGGGAGGATTGATTTTGTCATTTGGGAGTTGTAGTGCTGGGATTTATAGTTCACCTACAATATCAAAGAGCATTCTGAACTCCACCAATGATGGAATTGAACTAAACGTGGCACACAGGACTCCCATGACCAACAGAAAACACTAGAAGGGTTTGGTGGATTGACCTTGAGTTTGGAGTTGTAGTTCACCTACATCCAGAGAGCACTGTGGACTCAAACAATGATGGATCTGGACCAAACTTGGCACGAATACTCAATATGCCCAAATGTGAACACTGGTGGAGTTTGGGGGAAATAGACCTTGACATTTGGGAGTTGTAGTTGCTGGGATTTATAGTTCACCTACAATCAGAGAACATTCTGAACCCCACCAACGATAGAATTGGGCCACTTCCCACACAGAACCCTTATGACCAACAGAAAATACTGTGTTTTCTGGTGGACCAAACTTAGCATGAATACTCCATATGCCCAAATGTGGACACTGGTGGAGTTTGAGGGAAATAAACCTTGACATTTGGGAGTTGTAGTTACTGGGATTTACAGTTCACCTACAAACAGAGAGCACTCTGAATCCCACAAACTGTTTTCCCTCAAGCATAGAGAAATTACATATATTGGAAACCAACACTTCCTCATTATTTTATTTTCTAGATCACCAGACTGGGCCACAGCAACACATGGCAGGGGATAGCTAGTATATATACCAGTGGTTCTCAACCTTCCTAATGCCGTGACCCCTTAATACAGTTCCTTATGTTGTGGTGACCCCCTACCATAACATTACTTTCATTGCTACTTCACAACTATAATTTTGCTCCTGTTATGAATTATCTTGTAAATATCCGATATGCATGATGTATTTTCATTCATTTGGCATGAATACTCGATACGCCCAAATTTGGATACTGGTGGGTTGAGGGGAGGATTGATTTTGTCATTTGGGAGTTGTAGTTGCTGGGATTTATAGTTCACCTACAATATCAAAGAGCATTCTGAACTCCACCAATGATGAAATTGAACCAAACTTGGGTCACAGAGCTCCCATGACCAGCAGAAAATACTAGAAGGGTTTGGTGGGCACTGACCTTGGGTTTTGGAGTTGTACTTTACCTAAATTTATTTATTTATTTATTTATTTATTTACTTTATTTGTATACCGCACTCTCTCAGCCCATAGGCGACTCAGTGCGGTTTACAACCAAATCAATATACAAAGTGCACAACATTAGCAATTAAAACAGTAACTAAGGCAACTACATCAATATAACAATACATCAGTACATCAATATAACATCAATACATCCATATAACTAATCCATCACGTCTCATCAGTAAAGTCATAATCCGATCTCCTCGTCCATTATTCCAAGTTCCAAGATCAATCAATTAATTGCACTGCTTAATTAAACGCCTGTTCAAGAGAGAGCACTGATGTATCTGGACCAAACTTGGCATGAATACTCAATATGCCTAAATGTGGACACTGGTGCAGTTTGGGGAGGATAGACCTTGACATTTGGGAGTTGTAGTGGCTGGGATTTATAGTTCACCTATAATCAAAGAGCATTCTGAACTCCACCAATGATAGAATTGGGCCAAACTTCCCACATGGAACCCCCATGACCAACAGAAAATACTGTTGGTCATGGAAACCCCTCTGAACCCCCCTCATGACCCCTAAGTTGAGAAACACTGATATATACAAACACACACCACGTTCCTTATTTAAAATGAGACTAAAAGTGGCTTATAACTTGCAGGCTTTCGCTCCATCTACAGTGCTGCAGAATGCAATATAAATGGTCAGTGTAGACCGGCCCAAGCTACCTATCTGACCGCATCTCTGCCTATGAACCCACCAGGACTTTGAGATCTTCCGGGGAGACCCTGCTCTCGATCCCACCTGCTTCTCAAGCTTGGCTGGCGGGGACGAGAGATAGGGCCTTCTCGGTGGTGGCTCCTCGGCTGTGGAACGCCCTTCCTACGGACATTAGACTAGCACCATCTCTAATGGTATTCCGCAAAAAAGTGAAGACCTGGCTGTTTGAGCAGGCGTTCGAATAATTAGTGCAATGATTGGTTAATGAACACTGGAATGGAACAATGGATGACGAATCTGGAACATGTTTTTGATGACGAGACGACAGTGAATGGGTATTGTAGTAACTGTTTATTAATTGTGTAATGTGTTAGGTTGTTAACTGTTCTATACTGTAGCACTGAATTTTTGCTGTTCGTATTTGTTGTGAACCGCTGTGAGTCGCCTTCGGGCTGAGAACAGCGGTATATAAGTAAGGTAAATAAATAAATAAATATAATGCTGGTTGGTTGCATTGACCTGTTGTCTACACTGATTATATAGTGCAGTTCCAAACTCCATTGCATGGTAGTGTAGGTAAGGCCCTAATATCACTCTGTATTGCACCCATATTGGCCCATATCCACTAAAGCTCTTGCTAACCTAGAAGCCAGTGATTCTTCAAGGGGCTGCTGCATTTCTGCACTTATTCCCCTCCCCCTTTATCCCTTCTTAAATAAATATATGGCTGGAGGACTCTATAGGAGAAGTTTCAGGCTGCAAAGGAATTGGGGCAAGCCCTTGCTTTGCCTTTGCCATTCCCACCTGCAAGCCTTGCAGCCTCTTCTTCCCACTCACCTCTTTGCAGGACTTCTTCCCTGGGATTCTATGGCGCTCCTGGCCCCGCCCCTCCCTGATCACTCCTGGCCCCGCCCTCCCCCAGACCGGAAGGAACGTTCCATGAGTACACACTGGGGCCACTCTAGGACTCAGAGCTCTGTCGCCTTAACTCTTTCATAGCCAAGCAATCTTTTATCAAGGGATGATGGAACAGAAGGCATGCTCATCCAATTTTGCAACAGGACACCAAATTGGGAGCCAGATCTCATACCCTAGAGGACAGGATCGGGATATGAAATGATCTGAACAGATTAATACCAAAAAAAAAAAAATGATTTCAGCAGGGAGAAATGTGCAGCATACTGCAATTTGCCCCCCAAAATATTGAAATGCACAGATATAGGATGGGATGCAGAACACATCATGCCACAGGCAGGGCTTGATGAATCCAAGGCTGGAGTTAAAATTGCTGGCAGGAACATTAACAATCTTAGATATGCAAATAATAATAGTAATAATATTTTTTTTCTGTGTCAGTTGCAACTTGAGAAACTGCAAGTCGCTTCTGGTGTGAGACAATTGGCCATTTGCAAGGACTTTGCCCAGGGGACGCCCAGATGTTTTGATATTTTGCCATCCTTGTGAGAGGCTTCTCTAATGTCCCAACATGGAGAGCTGGAGCTGACAGAGGGAGCTCATCCGCGCTCTCCCCAGATTTGAACCTGCGGCCTGTCGGTCTTCAGTCCTGCCAGCACAGGATTTAACCCATTACACCACTGAGGGCTCAATAATCATCATCATCATCTAATATTTTATTCATAACCCTCCTTTATTCATATTTTATTCATAAGGAGGGTGATCATCTCATGTTTTCATTTCCTTTTATTTACAAAAAATGATAAACATCAACATCCCATAACGCTTTATAACAAACGGATATAGCAGTCATCAAAATGAAGCAAGCCACAACAGTGGTTGGCTGTGATATTCATGGTGTCAAACATAGACATGGAGTCTTGGTTCAGTACAAGGAATCCTGAAGCTAGAAACAATCGCTTCTCCAACCAGATAACGGGATGAGAGACGCTTCAAAGAGATCATCCAAAAGTATTAAAAATACCCTTTTGAATAAGGATAGTGTGAAAAACACAAGGTATACGAAACAGTGGAAAGCCAACTGAGAAGGTCAAGAGGGACTTTGCTCATAGTAGGCCAGGAGATACAAATATAACTAAATATCAAAAAATTGAGATCTGCATAGACAACGTTTAGATAACGTTGCGCTTAGATAACAATTATAGAACAAGAGCAGCTTCAATGCTGATAAGAGACAGAAGAAGGAACCATATAAAATCCAATATGAATAGGATAGTCTATTATCTTTTCTCATTGGTATTATAGTTGTCCCTTCGCATTTGCGCATCCGATTGAAAATATTCTATGAATCTCTAGAGCAGTGGTTCTCAACCTTTGGGTGCCCAGATGTTTTGGCCTTCCAAAAATCCTATCGGATAGGATTTCTGGGAGTTGTAGGCCAAAACGCTTGGGGACCCACAGGTTGAGAACCACTGTTCTAGTGGAAGCATCATACAGAATCACTTGGTGAATCTAGAACATTTCTAGAGAGGAAATCTTTTGTTGGATGTAGGTAGATGAAACCATGGGTTCAGGGGCCAAAACCCCCCCCCCCCCCCCACTACTCACATATCTATTTTTGAATGGATTTGGATAATTATATGGCTCAATTGTCCATTAGGCAATTCTGTATCTGATTTCAAGATTATTTATTAATGTTTATTTATTATTGTTGATGCTGCTCCTGTTTTATAATGGTTATCTAATTGTATACATTCTTATGCCTACATCTGGCATGGGCAAACTTGGGCCCTTCTGGTGTTTTGGACTTCAACTCCCATAACTCCTAACAGCCGGTAGGCTATTAGGAGTTGTGGGAGTTGAAGTCCAAAACACCAGGAGGGCCCAAGTTTGCTCATGCCTGGTCTATATGATGGTCATTTAATTGTACCGGGCATTATAACTTAGGATATACAGCTATGTTGTACTACCTTCAGTGGTTTCGTACCCTTGATGTTTTTCATATGACTAACTATTGTCCTATTTACACTTTAAAAAAATTACAGTCATCCATCCACATTGATGGATTGAACTCCAGTGAATGTAAGTAGTCTCAGAATTGCTTGATATGTTCTCTTTAGGACTCTTTAGGTCAGTGGTTCTCAACCTGTGGGTCCCCAAGTGTTTTGGCCTACAACCCCCAGAAATCCCAACCAGTCTACCAGCTGTGTGTATTTCTTGGAGTTGAAGGCCAAAACATCTGGGGACCCACAGGTTGAGAACCATTGCTCTAGGTCCTCCATCATGACTCCACAGACTACACCACAGGAGGATCTAGAGCAGTGATTCTCAAGCTGTGGGTCCCCAGGTTTTTTGGCCTACAACTCCCAGAAATCCCAGCCAGTTTACCAGCTGTTAGGATTTCTGGGAATTGAAGGCCAAAACTTCTGGGGACCCACAGGTTGAGAATCACTGATCTAGAGATTCCTAAAGAGCGGTCTTCTCTCTGGATAAAAACACCCCTGGGTATTAAAAAACAACAAAACATTTTTGTACTTTTGCAGGGATCCTGCATCCGTAACTTCCCATCATCAAGAGGCAATAGGAAAATTCAAATCTTACTATACGCTTATGACATGGTCCTCCCGTCAGTTACACAAACAGGTAAAGTTCACAGCGGAGATCAGAAATGGAAATTTAAACCGTTTTGGATAATACAAATCAGATATTGTTATTGTTGTCATGCCTACGGGGATTGTCACTGAGATTAATTTGCAAGAGCTCATTTAGATAAAAAGTTTTAATGTTTATATTGGAAAGTGTATACTGTACTTTTAAGAGTTGTATTTTATTTGATGTTATGGCCTGTGGCTAGTACAATAAACAACTCACACACTCATTCTTTATCCATAACCTCCATAAAAGTGTATCTCCTCTACCCCACTCCTGCATCATTTTGGGTGTTTTGCTTCTTTAAGAGATCCTCTCTTGCCTTCTCTTGTTTGAGAGTGGATGCTCAACCTTCAAGTGGGCGGCCTATGATATCTATCTAGAGGGAAATAAAGTAAAAAAACCCTTTATTTTCTACTCCGCTCCTGCATCTCTTTTGACATCTTGCTTGTTTAAGAGATCCTCTCTTGATTGAGAATGGATAACTCATCTTCTTCTGGAAGCATTTCGCCATCCTTAGCTGAATGGTCAAAGAAGGCATTTGAAACAATGGTGCCTTTGTTGTCGCAAAGTCCTTGAAAGATGAGTTAGGCACTATTCATAAAGTAGTTTGCTAGAGTATCTCTCACTAGGATCCCATTCTGCTGATCTTCTAGGGACGTTGGGAAGGAGAGTAGTCCCTCTGGGGCCTGGTCAAACACACTCTGGTCTTCCGAACACAGCGCATCCACCAAATCGTGCCCGCGGTTCTCACAGATGTTGTGGAGGACGACACACCCCACGACGACAGGGATGATATTGTCTTCTGACACCTCCAAGCGCGTGGCCAAGCATTTCCACCGGCCCTTCAGCCTCCCAAAGGCGAGTTCGGCGATCTTCTTGCAGTCCTCCAAGCGGGAGTTGAAACGCCTTTTGGACGGGTCGAGGTTGTCGGTGAAGGGAGTCATAAGCCATCGCTTCAAGGGATAGTTGGTGTCAGCCAAGATCAATGGGGGGATCTCGACATTGCTGATGGTCACGGTGGGATTCCCAGGCACGAAAGACCCCTGGTCCATGCCATCGCACAGCACCTGGTTACGGAAGAAGGAGGCATTTTCATCTTTTCCACACCAGCTGAGTTCGATATCGACGAAGCGGCCCCTGTGGTCCACTAGGGCTTGCAACGACATTGGGAAGAAGCCCTTCTGGCTGACGCTGGTCCCCTTCCGCACCGTACAGAGGATGGGGATCTGGGTCCGGTCCACAACCCCCACGCAGTTTGGGAAGCGCATATTCGCAAATCCCGCCATAACCTTCGGAAAAACAAGGAAACAATGTTAGAAAGAGTCTGTGTGCTTAACTCACATCACTATCTAGATCAGGCATGGGCAAACCTCAGCCCTCCAGGTGTTTTGGACTTCAACTCCCACAATTCCTAACAGCCAAAACACCTGGAGGGCAGAAGTTTGCCCATACCGGATCTAGATCATGTCAGAAATATTAAATGTTAATTAGGTATTTTTAATTACAAAAATGTGAGTCAAAAACTGAAAGGGTTAAATGGATGCAATGACTCAGAAAAAGCTACTGTTCAATATAATCAGGTTTGCCTGTAACTTAGTAGCCCTCAGTCTGTTAGAAGTCTCTGTGGAAGAAGGGCTTCGGCGTGTTAGTAGGCCTCAGTATAAGAAGGCCTCTGTGTTAGTCTGAGAGAGCCCTCAGTGTGAGAAGGCCTCAGTGGGAAAAATCCTGGGTGTTTTAGTTTAGTGACGCACTTTTGTTTGAGGCCTTGTAAGACTATGAGTCCCATGATTCCACAGCTATTGCCGTTCAAGTGGTATCAGACTGCATTAATTCTACAACATAGATAAATGATTCCCAAATTTTAGTCCTCTAGCTTTTTGGACTTCAACTCCTAGAAGCCTCAGTATAAGAATTTTGGTAAATGATTCTGAGAGCTAGAATCTGGAAGACCAGAGTTCGGGAAACATTAGCATATATGCCCTCAATGTTGGCTGGATGAATCCATGCCAATCAAACAGTGCTTTGGCCCTGAAAGCTCTCTAATACAACTGATCGGAAGTACCTCCTGAGGGTCTTTGAGAACCACCAACTTCTTGAAGAGGAGCTTCTCAATTGCCAGGCAGACTTCGATGAAGACCTCTCCAACGGTGGAGCGCCCAACTCCAAAGCGGTCAGCTACTGCCCGGTAGCACTCGGTGGTGGCCAGCTTCCAGAGGGCAATGCCTGTCCGCTTCTCCACGCTCAGCGGGGCCCTCATGGTGGTGGTCTGGCGGTGCAGCTCTGGCCGAAGTGCATCGCAGAGCTCCAGGAAGGTGTCCTTGGTCATGCGGAAGTTCTGCAGCCACTGGTCGGGATCCCAGGTCTCCAGCACCACCCGCTCCCACCAGTCCTGGGTGATCTGGCGGGACCAGAAGCGGTGTGGCCCGGCGTCCAGCTCCTCGGCAATCAGCCTAGTCTCACTCTCGGGACAGATGTCTGGCAGGAGCTGGTGGAGGAGTGAGATATGGTGGGCCATCACTCGACGAATGGTCCTCCGGGCTCGGGCCGCGACGCCCCCCCGGTGCAAGTGGAGCCGGACCAAGCTGTGGGTGGCCAGGATCACGAGGATGATTGCTTCCATGTTCTCCATGGTTAGCAGAGGTCCCAGATCAGGAAGGGGAGGAAACTCTATAACAACACAATTTTTTTGAAGTTTAGAGGGTGGAAGTCCACTCTGGCTGGATCTACACTGCCCTATATCTCAGGATCTTTTTCCAGATTGTCTGCTTTGAACTGGATCATACATTTCATGGTATAATGGGGTTTTAATAGCTTTAATTTATAGTTATATGTTTTTGTTTTTTTTGTTTTGGTTTTTCACATGGATGTTGGGTATTGAATTTTGCCATGCTTATGTTGGAAACCACTTTGAGTCTCCCCAGGGGTGAGAAATGTGGTATATAAATATAGTAAATAAATACATAAATAAATAAATGCCCACACTGCCAGATAATCTGGGATAAGCAGATAATACGGTATCAGATCCTGGGATATTGTCTAGTGTAGATCCAGCCTCTGCCTCTGGTCTTTTTAGCTTACTTTGGGTCCTGATATCCCTGACCTAAATCTATTCCAAGGCGCTGAAAGCACAATAAAACAACATTGTAATACAATACCTTTACAGAAATGCTGGTTTTCTAAATAAATCCAAAAGAGTAAAAGCTGTTTGCTCTAATATGTGTGTGTGTGTGTGCAATGATTATTGGAACAACCCTAGATTACGATTGTGGATGGAGTGATTTTAATAGTGATTATAATGTTTATATGTTTTAATGTGCATTTGAACTCTATTTTTAAATTTTTTAACTTAAATGTATTTAATTGTCTGTTGCCTAAAGGCATCAAATAGTTGCCAAATGTAAAGCCGCCTTGAGTCCCCTTTGAGGTACAGAAAGGTAGGATATAAATAAAGTATATATAGCTGCACATCGCAAGTGCTGAGCTTGACTCAGCACATAAAAGATGGCTTTAAAAGGCAGCAGATCACAGGAGCTGTCTTCATAGACCTGTCAGCTGTAAACCTCTGTCTCTTTCTGAGAAAAATGTATAATATCATAAAGGATTACCACCTCACCCGCCTCATAGGAAATCTGCTACAAAACAGGAGCTTTTTTGTTGGGTTCCAGGGCCAAAGAAGCAGATGGCGGAAACAGAAGAACGGCCTGCCTCAGGGGAGTGTGCTTGCTCCATCCATGTTCAACATCTACACAAATGACCAGCCACTGCCAGAAGGAACAGAGTCTCATCTATGCTGACGATCGTGCCATCACCACTCAAATAGGGAGCTTTGAGATGGTTGAATAGAAGCTCTCCGAAGCTAGATGCTCTTACTGCCTATTACTAATCCATCTAAAACACAGACATGTGCGTTTCATCTCAAGAACAGACAAGCATCCCGAGCTCTGAGGATCACCTGGGAAGGAATCCCACTGGAGCATTGCAACACACCCAAATACCTGGGAGTCACTCTGGACCGTGCTCTGACCTACAAGAAGCACTGCCTGAATATCAAGCAAAAAGAGGGTGCTAGAAACAATATCATATGAAAGCTGACTGACACAACCTGGGGATCACAACCAGACACAGTGAAGACATCTGTCCTTGTGCTATGCTACTCTGCTGCTGAGTACGCATGCCCAGTGTGGAACATATCTCACCACACTAAAACAGTGGATGTGGCTCTTAATGAGACATGCCGCATTATCACAGGGTGTCTGCGCCCTACACCACTGGAGAAATTACACTGTTAAGCAAGTATTACACCACCTGACATCCGCCGGGAAGTAGCAACCAATAGTGAAAGGACCAAGGCAGTGACATCTCCGGCCCATCCCCTGTTTGGGTATCAGCCAGCACGCCAACAACTCACATCAAGAAATAGTATTCTAAGATCTACAGAGACACTCACTGGAACACCTCAGCAAGTGAGAGTCCAAAAGTGGCAGGCTCAAACCCAGAACCTCAATCAATGGCTGATACCAAATGAGAGACTCCATCCTGGACACAGAGAAAACTGTGCGACTTGGAAGGCCCGGAACAGACTGCGCTCCGGCACCACAAGATGCAGAGCCAACCTCAAGAAATGGGGCCACAAAGTGGAATCCACGACATGTTTGTGTGGAGAAGAGCAAACCACTGACCACCTGCTGCAATGCACCCTGAGCCCTGCCACATGCATGATGGAGGACCTCCTTGCAGCAACACCAGAAGCACTCCAAGTGGCCAGATACTGGTCAAAGGACATTTAATCAACTACCAAACTCACAAATTTTGTATTTTGTCTGTTTGTTTGTTTGTTTGCTTTGTTCTGTTAGAAATGTAATATAATTTGACTGGTTGTCCTGACACGACAAATAAATAAATACCTGCATCTACACAGATGAGCAGAAGTTGTTCAATTGAAGACAAGAAACACTAGATATGAATAAGACCTAGTAGAGTATAGACCCTTAAATAAATAAAATAAAATAAACAATGGACATTTAATCGAATACCAAGTTTGCAAACTTTGTGTTTTGTTTGTTTGTCTGTTTGTTTTTTAATGCAATACAACTGACACAAAACACACACACATACATATACTGTATATAGCGTAACCGATCTCTCTCTTTCTCTCTCTCCCTATATATATATATATATATATATATATATATATATACATACACTTGCACTCTCATCAAATACCAAGTTTGCAAACTTTGTGTTTTGTTTGTTTGTCTGTTTGTTTTTAATGCAATACAACTGACACAATACGCATACACACATATATACTGTATATAGCGTAACTGATCTCTCTCTTTCTCTCTCTCCCTATATCTATCTAACTATCTAACTATACATATAATAAAAGTCAAAGTTTGTATGCGGCAGAAGTGTGGCGGTGTATGTGCCGGCTTTCTGATTGGCTGCAGCTGTGGTGCTATTTGCATATGGTCTCTGATTGGCCAGGTTTAACAGGAGCCCCTGGTGGAGAAAACGGTTCATGACAGAAACGGAGACAGGAGAGAAGGAAATTTGCATATGGTCTCTGATTGGCCAGCCTCAATTCCAAGATTCCGAGATGACAAATAGAGGAAAGGAAAAGGCCAGGGGATGTCAGAAAATTACCAATACAGACCAAACTTGGCACACAAAGCCCCCATGACCCACTCGATATCCTACTGCAGTTTGGAGGAGGATGAACCATGGATGATGGGACTTGCAGTACCATCACTCACATTCTGAGACTGCTGTTAACCTCATCCAATGACTGATCAGGACCAAACTTGGCACATAGACTTCTCATGACCCACTTTACGTCCTGGTGTGGTTTGACCGGGGATGGACCATGGATTATGGGACTTGCAGTACCTTTGCTTAATTCTTGAGACCACTGCAACCCTCATCCAATTACCGATAAAGACCAAACTTGGCACACTGAGTCTCCACGACACACTCTACATCCTGGTGCAGTTTGGAGGAGGATGCAGCATGGAGGATGGGATTTGCAATAACTGCACTCCCTTCCTGGTGCGGTTTGGAAGAATTTGGCAATGGATGATGGCACTTGCAGTCACTTCACTCACTTCCTGAGACCCTCGCCAATGACTGATCAAGACCAAACTGAGCACACAGAGTCCCATGACCCACTCTACATCCTGGTGCACTTTTGAGGAGGACAGACCATGGATGATGGGACTTCAAGTACCTCCACTCCCTTCCCAAGACTGCAACCCTCATCTAATGTCCGATAAAGACCAAACTTGGCACACAGAGCCCCCATGACACACTCTACATCCCGATGCTGTTTGGAGGAGGATGGACGATGGCTGATGGGACTTCCAGTACCTTCACTCACTTCCTGAAACCACAGCAACACTTATCAAATACCAAGAAAGACCAAACTTGGCATAGAGAGCCCCCTTGGCCAACTCAACATTCTGGTGAGGTTTGGGGGAGAACAGACTATGGATGATGGGACTTGCAGTACCTAAACTCACTTTCTGAGACCACTGTGACCCTCATCCAATGATTGATCAAGAACAAAACTTGGCACACAGAGCCCCCACGACCCACTCTCCATTCTGGTGCAGTTTGGAGGAGGATGGACCACAGATTATGGGATTCGCAGTACCTTCACTAACTTCCTAAGACCACTGAGAGCCATATAAATAACTGATAAAAACCAACCTTGAGACACAATTCCTTTCTCAAATAACCCGGGCAGCGCCGGGTCCCCAAGCTAGTATATATATTATATACTTGCACTCTCGTCGAATACCAAGTTTGCAAACTTTGTGTTTTGTTGGATTGTCTGTTTGTTTTTAATGCAATACAATTGACACAATACATACACACACTTATACTGTATATAGTGTAACTGATCTCTCTCTTTCTCTCTCTCCCTATATATATATATATATACACACACACACACTTGCACTCTCTTTGATCTCTTAATGGTGTCAAATAGGTTATAATATTACAAAAAAGCATTTAAAGAAGGCAAAATAAAAAGCTGGAAGGAAAAAAATGGGAAATAATAGGAAATGAATTAATTCACAGCTCAGGTTCCCCCAAAGTTTCTACCAAATACATAGTGAGATCCATATATATCAGGCATGGGCCAACTTGGGCCCTCCAGGTGTTTTGGACTTCAACTCCCACAATTCCTAACAGCCTACCGGCTGTTAGGAATTGTGGGAGTTGAAGTCCAAAACACCTGGAGGGCCCAAGTTGGCCCATGCCTGATCTATAGGCTTGCACATTGATTACAATGGGCCCATTTAAAAGCACTACAAAGAAAGCAGCAAAGGAGAAAAAGAAATGCTGGGAAGAAAAAGGAAGGAAGGAAAGAAGGGAAAATGGGAGAGAACGGGGCCAGGCATCAATGCAAACCCAATAAACATGAGACAGTTTGAGCTTGGCCTCTTCTTCTACCTGGCTTCAATCTCTGCTCCTTTGCCACCTCCTCAAAAGGGTTAAAACCATAGAACAGCGTTTCCTAGAGCAGTGTCTTCCCCAACCCTTTGGACTTCATTTCCCAAAATCCTCAATCATTGGTCAACTCAGTTGAGCCTTCTGGGAGTTGAAGTCCAAGAGTGTTGCATGAGCGTACGCGATGACGCCACCCGTTCGCCTTGTTTTGGACTCCACTTCCCAGAGTTCTCTCCCATTGGAGAGTCCTAGCAGAGGCTTCTGGGAGTTGGAGTCCAAAACGACTAAACTAGGAACGCTTGAGAACTATTGGTCCAATGGAGAAACCGCTCTTATGACGTCACTTGAGCAGGCGGCCTGGATGGGCAGGACGCCATTTCTTGTCCATTCTGAGGGCCAAAATGGCGCCTGCTCAGTCTTAAAGGGGAAGAGTCCTTTTAATGGCTTGCAGCAAAGGAAATCCCATAGGGGTGTTAGCCCTTCTGTAGGCTATCAAAAGCTATTTGGCTGGAGTTGCACAAAAATGTACCTGATCTGAAGTCTGCTGTAGTAAATAAGGAACGCCACTTAGAAACAGGGGAACTCCAGACAGTAAATAATTAAGAACCAGTTAACACCTCCCAAACAGAGGATGCCTCCAAGCAACAGAGGCCAAGCTACCTCTATAACCTCTATAACTCTCTGCCCCGGAGTGTGGTGGAGGCTCCTTCTTTGGAGGCTGGACGGCAACTAAAATGATCAAGGGTCTGGAGAACAAGCCCTATAAGGAGCGGCTTAAAGAGCTGGGCATGTTCAGCGTGAAGAAGAGAAGGCTGAGAGGAGACATGATAGCCATGTATAAATACCTGAGAGGAAGTCATAGGGAGGAGGGAGCAAGCTTGTTTTCTGCTTCCCTGGAGATTAGGACAAAGAACAATGGCTTCAAACTACAAGAAAGGAGATTCCATCTGAACATGAGGAAGAACTTCCTAATTGTGAGAGCTGTTCAGCAGTGGAACTCTCTGCCCCGGAGTGTGGTGGAGGCTCCTCCTTTGGAGGCTTTTAAACAGAGGCTGGATGGCCATCTGTCAGGGGTGCTTTGAATGCAACTTTCCTGCTTCTTGGCAGGGGGTTGGACTGGATGGCCCATGAGGTCTCTTCCAACTCTAGGATTCTAGGATTCCAGTGTTTCTCAACCTTCCGAATGCCGCAATCCCTTAATACAGTTCCTCATATGGTGGTGACCCCCAACCATAAAATTAATTTAGTTGCTGCTTTATAACTGTAATTTTGCTACTACTATGTAAATATCTGATCATAGAATCAAAGAGTTGGATGAGACCTCATGGGCCATCCAGTCCAACCCCATTCTGCCAAGAAGCAGGAATATTGCATTCAAATCACCCCTGACAGATGGCCATCCAGCCTCTGTTTAAAAGCTTCCAAAGAAGGAGCCTCCACCACACTGTTGTTGTTTATTCATTCAGTTGCTTCCGACTCTTCGTGACCTCATGGACCAGCCACGCCAGAGCTCCCCATTGACCGTCACCACCCCCAGCTCCTTCAGACTCAAGCCAGTCACTTCAAGGATACCATCCATCCATCTTGCCCTTGGTTGGCCCCTCTTCCTTTTTCCTTCCATTTTCCCCAGCATAATTGTCTTCTCTAAGCTTTCCTTTCTTCTCATGATGTGGCCAAAGTATTTCATCTTTTCCTCTAGTATCCTTCCCTCCAACGAGCAGTCGGGCTTTATTTCCTGAAGTATGGACTGGTTGGATCTTCTCGCAGTCCGAGAATTTTCCTCCAACACCACAGTTCAAAACCATCTATCTTCCTTTGCTCAGCCTTCCTTATGGTCCAGCTCTCACATCCGTAGGTTACTACAGAGAATACCATTGTTTTAACTATGCAGATCTTTGTTGCCAGTGTGATGTCTCTACTCTTCACTATTTTATCGAGATTAGACATTGGTCTCCTCCCAAGAAAGAAACGTCTTCTGATTTCCCGGATGCAGTCTGCATCTACAGTCATCTTTGCACCTAGAAATACAAAGTCTGTCACAGCCTCCACGTTTTCTCCCTCTATTTCCCAGTTGTCAATCAGTCCAGTTGCCAGAATCTTGGGTTTTTTATGTTTAACTGCAACCCAGCTTTTGCACTTTCTTCTTTCACCTTGATTAGAAGGCTCCTTAGCTCCTCCTCGCTTTTGGCCCTCAAAGTGGTGTCATCTGCATATCTAAGGTTGTTAATGTTTCTTCCAGCAGTTCTAACCCCAGCCTTGCATTCATCAATCCCTGCACATTGCATGATGTGTTCTGTGTACAAGTCGAATAGGTTGGGTCAGCGTATATAGCCCTGCCGTACTCCTTTCCATGCTCACGATCCCATCTGCGTCGCAAGCGCATTTGGTGAGGATGAGGGACAGGGCCTTCTCTGTGGTAGCCCCCCGACTCTGGAACTCTCTCCCCAAGGACATCAGACAAGCCCCAACGTTGGCAGTCTTTAGGAAGAGCTTGAAGATGTGGCTGTTCCAGTGTGCCTTTCCAGAATAGGAAACTCCTAGTATCATGTCCCAAATGCACTTTATTAGAGATTTAAGATTGTCTGCACACTGCACCTACCTCTAAAAACCTATACATTTCATCTGTCATGCCCAGCACTTTTAAAATCATTACATTTGGCCTGGCCTTAGTTTTAAATGCGTCATGGTGTTATTGTTCTAATGTTTATTGTTATTGCTTTAATGTTTATTGTTTTGCTTTATGAGTTTTATTGTTGTATTTGTTATGCTGTTGTTTTATTGAGGGCCTTGGCCTTTTGTAAGCCGCACCGAGTCCTTCGGGAGATAGGGCCTTCTCGGTGGTGGCTCCTCGGCTGTGGAACGCCCTTCCTACGGACATTAGACTAGCACCATCTCTAATGGTATTCCGCAAAAAGGTGAAGACCTGGCTGTTTGAGCAGGCGTTCGAATAATTAGTGCAATGATTGGTTAATGAACACTGGAATGGAACAATGGATGAAGAATCTGGAACATGTTTTTGATGACGAGACGACAGTGAATGGGTATTGTAGTAACTGTTTATTAATTGTGTAATGTGTTAGGTTGTTAACTGTTTTTATACTGTAGCACTGAATTTTTGCTGTTCGTATTTGTTGTGAACCGCTGTGAGTCGCCTTCGGGCTGAGAACAGCGGTATATAAGTAAGTTAAATAATAACTAAATAAAAAATTATATATTTATGAAAATTGATAAATAAATAAATAATAATCTTGAACCAGACTGTTCTTCCGAGGTCAGTTCTTACTGTTGCTACTTGGTCATTCTACAGATTCCTCAGGAGACAGATAAGGTGGCTTATAATCCCCATATTACCAAGAACTTGCTACAATTTATTATGATCCACCCAGTCAAAGACTTTAGAATAGTCAATAAAACAGAAATAGATGTTTTTTTCCAAAACTCCCTGCCTTTCTCCATTATCCAGTGAATATTGGCAATTTGATCTCTTGTTCCTAGCTTGTACATCTGGCCACTCTCTCTCCATGTACTGCTGGAGTCAACCTTGCAGGATTTTGAGCATTACCTTACTGTCATGTGGAGTAAGTGCCAATGTACAAAAGTTTGAGTATTCCTCAGTGTTTCCCTTTTTTGGTATGGGTATCTCCCCCCCCTCTTTAAAAATATATACATTCCCAATAAGCTGGGGTGTACATTCAAACTGGCTAAACTCTCTTAGGCTCTTCAAAGTGAAAATAAAAAGACACTGTTCACTGTCTAGGACACAGTTTTGGTTCACAAATTGGGAAACTTACATAATGCCGCTACACATCTTGTGCTGACTGATGGAAATATTTTGTGGTAGAAAAATTCTGCAGGCAAACGAAAGCTAGATTCCCGCAATAGGTTTGCCATCTTATAGCAGTAGAGAAATTAGCATGGCACAGAAAAAAATATATAATGTGTGGCTGCCTGGGTCAGAGCCGAAGCTTGTTGAGGGGAATGCATTAAGTTCTGGGCTTTTTGCCAGAAGGAGCAAAGGCCCAAAGCTGAGTATGTATTAAGCAAACAACACACATAACTCTGGCAGAAGTGAGAAGATTGTTTTGTAATGCTAAAGGAGAAAGCAAAAGGCTTCAGCCATTTAGCAGAGGATGGTTTCGATCCATCGACCTCTGGGTTATGGGCCCAGCACGCTCCCGCTGCGCCACTCTGCTCAATGGAGAAGAAAGGACTTCTGTAGCTTGTCACTGTCACAGAGCAACACCCAGCCACGACACCTTAAGACAGAGTTTCTTAAGTTTGGAGTCAGGACCCCTGAGCGAGTCGCAAAGGGGTTTCAGAGGGATCACCAAAGACCATTAGAAAACATATTTCTCATGGTTTTAGGAACCCCTTTGGCAGAGAAGGCTGAAGATCTCTCTGCTTGTCCTTCTCTACTTTTTTGGAAACAGATGATGAATCCATGCACCAAAAGCCCTCCTCTTACTATGGAAACAGATGATGAATCCATGCACCAAAAGCTCTCCTCTTACTATGGATGGATGGCCTCTCAGCCAATGGGAGAGATGTTTTTGAGACTCCAAGTGGAGAGAGGAGAGCACATGGCAGCATGGTGTGCATGTGCGGGCAAAAGAGAGTATGCGAGGTAGAGGGAGACCTGTACGAGCAAGTCCCTTCAAGGCATGGGGGTTCTGTGTGGGAAGTTTGGCCCAATTCTATCATGGGTGGGGTTCAGAATGCTCTTTGATTGTAGGTGAACTGTAAATCCCAGCAACTACAACCCCCAAATGTCAAGGTCTATTTCCCCCAAACTCCACCAGTGTTCACATTTGGGAATATTGAGTATTCATGCCAAGTTTGATCCAGATACATTGTCTGGTAACATCAACTACTGATAATGAACAAACCCATTTCAGAGAGCACCAAACCTTAATATGTTTTCTTTTTCTCTTTGATTTGATGTTATCGCCTGCTTGGAGCTGTTCATGGTGCTGAACCACTCCCTTCCACAATAGGTTAAGTTTCCTGGAGAGCTCCTTACAAACTCCCACTAAAACAGTGGTTCCCAACCTTTTTTTTTTTTTTTGA